AGAGATTGGACATCAACGTTTCCCTCGATCCACACGACACAATAACGTCGGGAGCCGAGAAGAGAGTCGCTCAACACGACAAAAGATGCGGGGGTTAGCTAGGCACATCCATGTCATGTTCTCAGACACATCTTCGGGAAAGATGGTTTTAGACGGTCGATCGGGTCGACACGCACGGGTCCGAGGTACGACTTAGACCATAGCTTTGCTAACAAAAGGAAATAGTCCGGTCTTTGATCCAATCGTCACGGGCAAGACGGGATCGAACAGAGCGGGCTATCGGGGCAATAAGAGCAAGAACAACCAAGAGCAAGGTCCACTTCTTCTAACGCACACGCCACGACAAAGACGGGGCATCGGAAGGAGCAACACTCAAGTACACCAAGTGCGTAAGCCACTCGTAGGGTACCCGACCTGGGTGCACTGGCACTAAGATATCTCTCGGATTCGAAACGGTGCGGTTGTCACCGCGAGAATCAGAGAAACATGATGGTCAAACGGGGTACAAGCATACAAGGGCTTGAGCATGAAGAAGCAAACAAAAGCGAAAGAGAGGCGTAGCTCCATGGTCATGGCGAGGCGAACTCGCGGCCACAAGCTACACCAACGAGTTGGCACCCATCATTCCACGATTGTTATCTCCAGGTCATCTCCCACAGGACTTGGTCATGGAGGGCTCAAGGCGTGCGGGTGATATCCACATCGGTGTTAGTATCGACATCGAATCCATCACGACCATGTTCTAGGGCCGAAGGCAGGAGCTAACACTCGTGGTACTATGAAGTCAGCTAAAAAGCGAGGGGTTGAGTTACACTCGGCATCATGGTCATGGCGAGACGGATCCCGCGATCATAACGTCCGAACAAGGTACGATCCCTCAGCCAGCTCGAAGGCTCGGCACACAGGCAGCAACACCAACAACCAGCGATAAGAACCATACACGACCGAAAGATGCAACAACTCGACACGACTGTGGAGTAGCACATCTCCGTAGCAACGAGGGAACCTGCATAAGGGCATGGCATATGTGGATTCAGATAGGCATAGATCGTGAAAGACAGGTGTAAGATCGAGTGTATGAAAGAGCGAAGGGAGAGTTTCATCGGCATCGGAAATGGTGTCCAACTAGGATTCGTCCTTGCGGCAAAGGTGAAGATGGCCAGGAGCGGTTGTAGCTTGTCTCGGAGGGTCGTGGCTTCTTCTGGCCAGCTACGGCCTGCTGTGGCTAGCTGTGGCTTGCTATGGCTCGCTGTGGCTGGCTGCGGCTGGCTACAAGTGGCTATGGTTGGCTAAAGGCTGGCTATGGCTGGCCGGGCATGGCAGTGACTGGCCGGGAGGTGGCTACTACTGTGATGTCGAGGCAAAAAGAGGTCTTGGGCTAGCGAGTGCGCGTGCATGGTTGTCCAAGCGGTGGCATCGGCAAGGCCCGGTTTGTCGCCGTGCTGTTCGTGTGCACCGCGAGCGTCAGGCTACGGCGGATCTTGCGTGAGCGTGGCTTGGCATGCCGAATGACGACATGATGAGGCCGTGGGGGTGTGGCGATGAGGCTTGTGCGCGTGCCTGCACTGTGGCGGCGCATGTCCGTAGCTCATGGCATGTGAGCACGAATGGCAATGGTGCCTCCGTAGGTGTTTGGTGAAGGTCCGAAAGGACTTGGCTTGTGCTCAGGCACGTGGTCGTGACCGTGAGCGGTCCACTGGGATGGTGGTGTGCCAGAGCTTGTGCGGCGACGTGCAAGGCATGGCCACGCGTCACCGCCGCAGGCGCGCGTGCGGGTGCGGTGATCACGCGTGTGGCTGCAACCACTGTGGTCGGCTGTGGCGGTGATGCCGCGCTGTGTAGCTAGGGTATCCGGGTGCAGGTACTAGCCGGGCGAGGGTAGCGGTAAGGGAGAGACCTGGCAGTGCATGTGCTGGTGCAGTATCTCCTTGCCGGTCCGTGACGTGCCGGCGCTCGCGCAACGGTGTGCTAAAGGACGACCGAGCAGCACCATGTGCAGCTGTGTGTGTGTCCAAGCGGTGTGGCACCACGGCGGTGCGCCGTGGTCGACCGATGAGTCGGTAACAACGGTTCGACAGCCAACAAACAGAGATGGCAACAAGGGAACGCATAAAGGCGGAACTTTGGGGCTGGCTGTGATCGTGTGCCGCATTGCAACGTCGTAGGCGAGGTCGCCGAGCTGGTGTGGTTGTGTCCGGTACTGGCACGTCGGAGCGAAGACTACGACGGCGCATGCAGTGGCGCCGGGTCGTGTGCCGCGTGCCAGTCGGTGCCATGGCCGTGAGGGTGGCGAGGCAAGCACTCGTGTGCATGACGTGGACGTCATGTTCCTGAGTAGCCGAGAATAGGCACTGTTTCGGTGGCTGTGCGTGCAAGTGCAGGTGCCACGGGCAATGCGGCACGAAGGCCGGACAGACAGGCATCAAGGCAACGAATCAAAGGCGGAGCTTTGGGGGTCTGGTGCTTACCGACGGGCTTGGCGCCGGGCGTCCGCACGGTGCAGTTCGAGACATGATACAGGGGGATGTAGAGAGCATCGGTGTGGCGATGCTGCCGTTCTTGGACGCGAACGGCATGACGTAGGTGCCCCAAGGCGGTAGCTTTGGCTGCAAGGGGCGCGGTTCTGGCGGTGCAGGTCATGGCCGCGGGGAGGGCGTCGGCGTTCATCGGGGTGCGTCGGTGCAGGGGCTTGGCGTGGCGCAGATGGTGGCCGGGGCAAGGCAGGGCGCTCGGGTCGTCATGGTCACGGGCCTGGAGCAGGGGCGCGTCATGGTGCTCGGTGCAGGGGCGTCGCAGACGTCGAGGGCGTCGATGGGACGAGGCCGGTTCAAAGCAGGGCCAGCAGCCGTGGAGGTCGCAGGGTGGTCGTGACCGGCTAGCGGCCTCCACCGGCGTGGCAGCGGGTGACTGGGTGGAGCTTGACGCGACACGGCACGTCCCGGCACGGAGAGGCTGTGGCTTTCTGATGTTCCATCGCTCGGCAGGGAGGCGGCTTTGGCTACAGGTTGGTGGTCAGGGACGGTCGTCGTGCAGATGTCGTGGTCGTCGTGACGAAGGACGACGGTGGCTTGGGGCGATGGACCGTGTCCGCGGCCGGCTCGACATCGCTCTGGCGAGGCGCCGGTGGCAGCACGGGCCTGACGACGTCCGTGCGGGTCAAAGTGGAGGGCACCGAAGCGGTCTCGGTGGAGCACGACGACATCGGCGTGGAGAGGCTCGTCGTGGCCGAGACAGGGTCGGGCTTGGCGTGGCTGCGACCGAGGACGAGGCGCAGAGCAGTGGCTCGAGGTGGATGCCGACGAGGTGGTGCCGCTGCGTGGACGTCGCGGGGTTGCTGCTTGGCGCAGAGGAAGAGGGAGAGGGAAGGCGGCGGCGGCTGAGAAATGGAGGAGAAGGGGCGGCGGCGGCTCGGCTATTTATGCTCGTGGGCTAGGGCTTCTAGGAGCTCCGTCCATCCTCGACGTCCGTGCACGGGCAGAGACACGCGGCGCGCATCAAGCGGCGTGGAGGCCGAGGCGCGTGGGGCCGTGAGCTTGCGTGCGGTGCGCGTACAGGGCGCGTGCGCGCGTGACAGAGCGAGCGGCGGCGGTGGCGGCGTCTGGAGGCCAGGGCGCGTGCGCCCTTGGGTTAGGGTTGGAGTGGGGCTTCGGCTGCTGGCCAGGCGCTGGTGGGCCGCGCGGCTAGGCCAGCAGGCCCGTGTGCTCGTGGGCCGGTGGGGTGCGAGACGGGCCGGCGGGGCAAGGAGAGGGGGCTCGGTTGGGCTGCTGCGCCGGTTGGGCCAAGCAGGCCACCCATGCGCGAGCGGGCCAGAAGCAGGGGGCCTAGGTTGGGCTGGTTCGGTTACTTGGGCCAGATGCCCCTTTTCTTTTTTCTATTTCTATCCTACTCTATGCCATGGGTTTCTCACATTGGAATACATGTGTCGCCAACACGTATACCTCCTAGTGTGGTCCTCTAGGGGTCACTTAAGGCTCTAGGGTCCATGTCAAGGGTTGACAACTCACGTGCATTGATTTGATAAAGATAGTTGGTTGAGATTCCAGAAGGAGTCCAAAAGGATTTGCTACAGACTTGTGCTCTCCAACACAAAACACTAAACCAACAAAAGAACTCCGACAAACTCCTACAAGTAATTCTATATGCATGCAACAATTTATTTATAAATTATTCTTAGTTTGACCTTGCATCTACATGCTTCACTCATTGCAGGAGAATTTTTAAAAAGTTCGTATTTTTGGCTTCTCCAAAAACCCGAGTTGTTACACTTTGGACTCTACAATGCCCCCTATACTTTTCAAGGACTTATGAATGATATTCTGGGACCGTATCTTCTCAAACTTGTGCTGATATTATTTGATGATATATTCATATACAGCATAATATCTGTGATGCCATATCCATAATTCCATATACAGCAAAACATGATCAGAACACAGATGGGTTTTCACTACTTTATAACAACACCTCTGACATTAAACAAGTCAAAATGTCTTTTTTGCAACAGAATTTGTATCATACCTCAACCACATTGGCACCAAAAACTTTCACTGCTGGTCAAACCGGACAGATCTGACGACAGTAACATGAGGTTCTTAATGTTGTAGAGTTTTACAACATGTTCGCGGGTTGGTTTCAGCCAACCCAAACCAACCAGCCAACAGTGTTTTTCTCTCACATAAAACCAGCACCAGCCAGCCTAAACCAGTACCAGCACCAACCAGCGAACAGGCCCTTAAGCTCAGTAGCATTAAAAGAGAAAATGATTGTAGACATTTGCAGTAGCACTGAAGTATTAAGTGGCTAAGGGCTCTTTGTTTTTTTTTTCCTTTGATGGAAAGAAAAAGACTGTCCTCAAATTTTATATCTCCTCTCCATGTTGATCAATTAGTTTTATTACAGGTGTTGATGGTAACAATAGTTCATTACTTCAAATATGAACTAGCCTCTAGAAGGGAGAGGCACCAGAGACAAGCACCAAGCCTGAAAAAAATCCATAAACTTTATCTAGTAGTGTGCACCATTGTCTCCACTCCAGGCTGCCCAGCAGTTTGAACTTCATTTTCCGTTGCTGATATGGTCTTTTCACGTGTTGGCGTCAGGTCGTACGTGTTAATTTCTGTCAAAACTATTCCATTATCATGTCCTATGACAATCCTACATCATTTTAACATAACGTTAAAAATGATTTGGAAAAAATAATGGCGAAACAAAAGAAGCATCATTCACAATGTAAACGCATAACTTGATTCATTGGCTGTGTACTGCTTCCAAGTAGTTACAAAACAAACACGTTAATTGTGGAAAATTGGAGTTTCATCACAATAAAGATCTCTATACTACTGAAACACAAGACGCGATTTACTTAGATATAATGTTACAGCTTAAGAAACAAAAGCTTCATTTCAACATTATCGGAATTGGTATTTCCAGTGTCTTTTGATTCTCACGTGCAGCAGTTGCAGGGAATCAATATTACCAGGCTGAAAAGCAGGAGCCTTTGATTACATACCTTCTTGTACCCTTCAAACATGCTATGGTAGTAACCATTCCAAGCCCAAAGTTTAGTATTCCCTCCAGTCTAAAAAAAAGTAAAAACAACCCTGAAACTGTTGGCATGAAAAAATTGGGGAATATCAAGCATAAATGACAGCATATCCCATCTATGTAATCTTGTCGCTCTATACATATGATACCATAACACCTCAAACTCAACTTCAGAAACAAAAGAAAAGATCACTTAGACTTTCCAACTCTCACAATTCATTCTTGGCGGTTTTCGAAAAAAAAAACAATTCATTCTTTGCACTAGGTTCAACAATGTCCACATGTTCACACACATGAAACACATGCAAGAAAAGTTCTTTGAAAACATACATGTGATGGTATGGCCACATCACATGTGTACCTCTATTGATATGATAGAGGATAAGTTTGTGTCTGTTAGGGGTGGGTAGTGATATTTTTGCGTCTGCATTCGCACAAACTTTCCACCCCACCCCCTTCCCCCTTCATTTGTACAAAATAAAACAAATATTCTCACTAAAACTTAACTACTAAGATATAGGTTCCAACCACAGCCTATAACGAACTGTTCATCAGTAATATAGAAAAGTAAATTGAATTTTTTTTTATTGTTTTCTTCCATGTGCATGAGGTAGTTGATCTTTTTTCTTTTCCACACGTTATGTAGCCTAGTTCTTCATTCATCTAAGTATCTACATCAGCCCATGATGATCAATGAGATTCTGTGATGTTTGTTGCAGGCCATGACATTTTAAGATTCGATGTTTTTGTTGTACTAACATCTCAAGGCCCTAATATATGTATACAGAATTTGTTTTTATAATTACCCAGTAGATGTAGATAATAATATTAATGAAATGTCTCAAAAGAAAATTAAAGAAATATAGAACTAAAAGAATATGGTGTACAATTACATCTAAAATAACAATGCTAAAATACTGGTAGAAAATACATATGAATGCATGTCTAGTGAGATGATAGGAGCTTGCCTAAAGGTAATGGAATTCCATAGACGAACTGTTCCATCATTTGAACCCGTAATCAGTATAGGATGGTCCGGATGGGAGCAGACAGTGCAAACACAATCTTTATGTCCTTCGAGTAAATGAACACATGTCCTGCTTCCTAAATCCCAAATCTAGCTCTCCGAAAGTAAATCCATTACAACAAAATTTTGCGTAGAGTTCTTGCCAAATAAATTTTGTTTAGGTAATCACAAAGAACTGGTGCGTTCTTAGTAAAGAAGTCTTACCCTTGCATTGTTGTCCCCAGAAACAGTAATCATGTATAACTGATCACCATGAGTGATGTAATCAAAGCACTCCACAGATTCGTTCTCATACAATGTGAATTCACAGCTGTAGGAACTAATATTCCAGATCTGTACTTTTTCAAGCATATATGAGTCAATAAATTATGTTAATGTGGATATTCTATGGTTCCAATAGTTTTCAAATGCAGAGGTGAAAGCAAAAAACTTTAATGTACCTGTAATCCATTTGCAGAAGCACTAGCAAAAACATTTGCGTCCTTTGGGTTAAACCTGAGTTGACTTATAAGGCGCTGCATTTCAAATGTTCTAACACATTTCCAACCCTTCCCCCAGTCCCACAGCTTAATCAGATCATCACGGCCTGCTGACAGCACATAAGGCTTAGTAGGATGGATGTCCAAACAAACGACAGCAAAGTCATGAGCCTTGAAACTCTTGATTTCCGACTTTGTCTTGTAACTGAACACTTGCACGGAACCATGATGATCCCCAGTCACAAACCACTGTTCTCGTGCAATAAATTTTGCATCCTGAACTGCAAGTTTGAGTAATTAATTTATTAGCATTGTTATGAGCAAGGAAAAAATCATGAGTCAGAAACGTATAGTGCCTGCTGATTTCTCTGTGTAGTAGTAGTCCACCGTATCCTGTGACAAATATGTATGGCAGAAATACATAAGCATGTTTCATTTTGACGATAACTGATAAGCAAGTACAAAACTTGTACCATCTTCAAATCAAATGTAGCCAGAGACAAGTTAGAATGGTGTCATGAATATCCTTTGTGCAACATAACAAGTCAGGTATGGAAATATAATTCTGTTTTTTTTTGTATTGAGTAAATATGTTCCATTTCTGGACGATGTTGTAGCTTATCTAGCACATATGCTATCTCTTGTAATCCTAATTCCTAACAATTTTATATATATCTAAGTATTATAAATGAAGTATCAAGCCCGTGAGGCAATGTCACGGAAAATTGAGTTTAATACTTAAAGGGAATCGGGGAACAGTGTAATGTGTAGGCATGGAAACCAATTGGATACGAATAGAGATAAATATTTTTCCTCGCATTCGTGTTCAAACACAAAAAAAAATGGCGTACCCAGTGCAGAGAGCTCCCGCTCTGTGCGGGGTCCGGGGAAGGGTGTCAGTGGCAAGCCTTACCCTCGCCTGTGTAATGCGAGGAGACCGCGACTCGAACCCGGGACCTTCCGGTCACAGGCGGTAAGACTCTACCGCTTGCACCAGGCCCGCCCTTTGTGTTTGAACACAAATAGTGTCAAATGTGCCAGATATAGATAGGATCAGATAGTTTTGGTTAAGGATAGGCGGATACTTGCATCGAGCTACATATCCGTATCAAATATCCAACTTTTTGAGTATCCAGATTCAATTCGGATCTGGTATTGGGTATTGAATATCTGAATTCAGATTCAGACTATCCGTTTAGTATATGAACCCCTTGAATTCAGATACAAACTATCTAGTTGTTTCTGAACCCTTTGGAATGGATGGACGAAAATTATCCATCCCATTTTCATCCCTAGTAATGACCTTATTTTAAAGCACTACTCATGTATGCATCTGCAGTTTAGGACATGTTTGAACCACTACCATATTTTCCTATACTTTATCAGACCTTTTGTGGTAGTTGTTTCATTTGTTGCTAGATCTGTCTTAGACACAGAACATGCATGTGTTTGATAGTTCCTTATACTGATGAATTGTAGGGATCTTTTTCTTATTAGTATATGTATATATTATTGTAGATTGTTACTTGCCTGTTTTTCATAGTTCCATATGTGAACAAATCGACTAATGTTAATAAGAAACCTGCATGCACAAAAAAGGAACGTGTTATATGGTTAAAACAGTAGTTCTATAGCAGCTTTTACAGAAAGGAATGCAGAAATTATGAACCCCCTTAGTTTATGTGGTTCTCATTTTTTATTAACTTGTTCTAGGGAAATACTAAGAAAGGATCCTTAAACACAGTGGGGGGCAAACACCCCCTGAGGTTGCAGTTTTCACTTAATACCCCCCTAATTAAAGCAAACCTTATATGTGCATGCAGTTCACTTTTTTTGTTGACAATCCCCCCCCAATGTCAAATTCCTGCCCCCGAACACAAAAAGGACATTGTTAAAAGGCAAAACAATGAAGCGCATGGCTTGTGCAGGAATGCACACACTCATGTGGGGAGAGCTGAAGAAGCAATCATACGCATTGTTAAGGATACTTAAATGTAAGGAAATTTCTCCAAACTGAATAGAAGGGACTCACGTACAGTCCCAATCCAAATAGACTAGACTATTACTCATGTATTATATATGCCGATCAATGCACGTGATCAAACAGAACCACAAATAAATGCAATACCAAAGAATGTTTTAGATCATGCATTTTAAGAATCAGACTTCTTGATCTTTGAACAAAACTAACCTAAGAATTTATAGATTATAGCATACAAATAATTAAATATAGTACCATGGATTCATCTTTGAATACACATCCATATGATATTGATTTTATCATCATGAACAATGTCATACTACGTCCAACTGTAAATATAAGCCATTTTAGGATTCTTGTCTACTTAAAATTCTAAACTTTGACCATCAATATAAAAAGAATTAGGTAAAATTGACAAAGAAGGATAGATGTTAATACATTCATAAAAACTGGTCAAAGTTTTATCTTGTAGGTTATGTCAATGTCCTAATAATCTTGGGGACAGCAATGGGTCAAATTGTGTCCTACACTTTGAAACGGGGAAAGCATTTTCAGAAGGATACAAAAACACCTACGATTTAGCCCCCCCTACCATAGCTCTGTTGGATGCACATCAACAGGAATCCGACCAGGATAACAGCGGGCCATGATCTGATCCAACAAAACAGCAATAGGTATCAGTGAAATCAAGATAAAATGAGAAGCAATGCATAAATGATATATCTAAGGATATGTGGCCTACCGTGGATGCAGGCTGGAGATCATCGGCACATGCACATATACCATCCACCATAATCAATGTCACCAAGAGATAGTAATGAGTTATGAAACAGAGCATTAGTTTTACTCTAAAACAACGCATTGCCTGAACAAAATTTTCAAAAAATAAAATAAATTTTAAACTTCTAATATTATAAATGTAAACAGAATCCCTATACTGATCTAGTTCATGAAATGCACTTGTTAGTCCTAGAGAAAATTGGATGACAAGAGTGAAACTTGAACCCTAGATCAATCAAACATGGGGCATCAGTTATACACTTATACTGCTAGAATTGGTGTTCAGCTGTGTATTACCGCTGAGCTGGTACATTTCTGTACTTATAATTATAAAATCCTAAGTCTTGAAAATTTTGAACCAATTAACTAAACCAGATTTAACAGAGGTAACTAACTTTTCTTACTTCCACACTATGTGGTGTTGAAAAGGAGTCTGTTTTCATCAAGGGAACTTGTTGGCAAGCCAACCACCTGCAGAGGTGAGCAATTAGCTCACTCACTCACTCTCACAACTCACGGCGGTAGAAGATGAACTATGAGAACAGAGCACACGCACAGACATGGGCGGATCTATATATATTGTACTGGGTGCGGGCGCACCCACAAAAATATAAAAAAACAGTGATTATGATCAGATTTTCACCGTATTTGCACCCATACGGTAAAATCACATGCACCCACAAGGCAAGCGCACCCCCCTCGCATTTGCTCTAGCACTGCTCTGAATGTGCAGCAACTGAACTAGTTTCTCTATTGCATTGTCTAGTATACATGCAAGTCTAGTACCAACTATATGGTACACTAGTACATGGCTGATATCAGCCCCCAAACTACTACTACATGGCTGATGTATGCCACTACATAGTTGGCCTATTGCCATACTCCTACAGTACTCTAGATGGACAGCAAGAGCTGACCAACATACCAACTCTCTGCTGCAGCAAAAGATCAAAAGAGAGCAGCAGATTATCTTACAGAACTCACCTTAATTTGTGCATAAGAAGCTGATAATTTCATCTTATGCACCTCACGGCCCTCCTGCATGGCTTTTGTAAAGAAATGGTCATGTTCTCCCACAGCCGTATATGATGAGAAATCTAATAACTCATTGGAGCCTGCTATAGCGCTCTCAAGTTCGAAAAACTCTGGTAGCAGCTCAAGCTTTTCTCGCATTGTCACAGCAAGAGTATAGCAGGACCTTGGAGGTACGACTCCACAGAGTGGCCCCAAGAAGGATTCCTTCAGATTCTTCATCTGGAAGGCAACACAGTCATCGGTATCGTTTGTTAGGTGCAGTGAGCACGAGATCATTGACTTATTTGGCTCTGAGGGGAACTGAAGATGGAGTGGCTGGATGTTGAGCCACTTGAGGATCATGCTCTGCAAATAAGGGTGAATAGCAAGTTTCACATTAACGAACCTATCTTGTTGCCACAAAGAATCGACTAATGACTAATGAACTGAAAGTATCTGATACTCAAAATACAAAAGTTTCAATTATAACACCTAATGAGAATTATGGAGACATATGTCAGCAACAAACAATAGAGGTATATAGCAATTATGATTTTCTGTTACAGGTCAAAGAAAAAAGAACTTGATATCATTCCTCAGTATTGAACAGTATATCTCGCATCATTAATACCAGGTTTAGATAATAAAATATGGAATTAACTATTATGCTGTTAGGGATCAATATTGTTAACACAATATTCCTAATGAACTCAACAAATATTATTGAAAGAAACTTAACAAATATTATAAAATGAAGAGAGAACAAAATTGCAAATGTAAAGATGTAGTGAAGTGGTTTACTGACAAAAGGCTTACACCTTTGCAAAGTAGCTTTGCACATGAAATTAATTAACAAAATTCATTACCTTGCTAACCTCAGTTTCGATCCTATTTAGCTCATCAATAATGTTCTTTATCTTAGGCCTTTTGTGTCTATCTTTCTCCATGCAGTTCAATGCTATCAGAGTGCATTTCTTAACTTGTTGGCAATATGCTTCTAGTAAGGAACCACTGCATGTTGCCTGCAACATGTTCCTCCAGTTTTCTTGCACCTGAAAAGTGGAGTTTATAAAGCTCAGCTGATACTATCTGGATATACAAGTGACATATAATTAATCAAAAGATGTATGATAATTTTGATAAAGACGAATAGTTCTCACTAGATCAGCAAATTCTTCAGAAGGCACATATTCACATTTATTGCGACCTTCACGTCCTGCCACTATCTGTATAATTACAACACCCAAGCTGAATATGTCAAACTCTTTTGAGATTATTTTCCTATCAATGAATTCTGGTGGCATATACCCCCTGCATTGTAGCACAAAGAATAAATTTGTAATGTGAACACTTTGGCAGATTAGTAAAAAGGATGTGTTCAATAAGGCACCGAATTTACAGTGTTCCGAGGGGACTTTGTGTGATTGTGTTGGTTACTTCTTCACGAACTATCCTGGACAGACCAAAATCTGCTAGCTTCGGCACCATTTCCTTGTCTAGCAATATATTGTCAGGCTTCAGGTCCAAATGGTACATATGTTCCTGATGAATGTATTTTAAACCCTCACAAGCCCCCTTAATAATTTTGTACCGTGTATACCAGTCAAGTCCATGACACTCATCTGCAGTGATAAATCAAATGCAATATAAACTACTCCATTCGTTCCAAATTATAAGATGTTTTGGCTTTTCAAGATTCCTAACTTTTGCTGCGCATCTAGATATATATTATGTCTATTCATAGTAAAAGCTATGAATCTAAAAATGTCAAAACATCTTATAATTTGGGACAGAGGGAGTATTTGCTTCCCACGATAAAAACATAATAAAATGTAGGGCACATTAGCGTACTAGAAAGATGTTTTCCAAGACTTCCATTGTGCAAATACTCAAAGCAGAGAGCTCCAAATGTCTGATCAGCAAAAATCTGTTTTCCGTTATAATCAAAAGGTATGTGCTGCGTTTCATAGCAGTAGCCAACAAACCGAACAATATTTTGATGCTGGAGCATCTTCAGGTTGTAAAACTCTTTCTGAAACTGCTTATCATCAAATCCTGAATAGTCACGACGAAGCATCTTGACAGCAATTTCTTCTCCATTTTCCCTCACTCCCTGTTAAAAGGACATGTTTACCACTCAACCGATGCTTATACTTGATAGATTTTACAAGCAAAAAATTATAAGCAGTCGCTCTAATCTTTACCTTGAAAACTACTCCGTATCCTCCCTCGCCAAGTTTTCGCTCCTCAGAGAAACCGTCTGTAATTTCTTGTAATAATTGAAGTGTTAGCCTTTCTGGCTCCATAGTTACATTTTGCAGCTTGATGTCCTTGTGTAACTGTTTCTTCTGGCAAAAGGACCCATTTGCATTAGCAAATTGAAGCCTACGCTCGCTTGTTACAGAGAGAAAAGTAGCTTAGCATTGTACATTACCAGCAGCTAGCTTTTCCCTAGGTGGTGTCGAAAGTCAACGGCTTCACCAGGAGGCGGAAGAAAAACGACGGACGGAGCAAACACATGAGACCGGGAATGCAGCCGGTCAACCTACAATCGGGAAAAGTTAGTGGAAAAAAGAGGGAAACCTGAACGAAGGGTAACAGAGCAGAGCAGGATTCACCTCGTCGCATCCCGGGCCGCGCTCCCCAGTCCCCACGCAGCGACGCCGGACGTTCAGCGTTCGCCACGGAGGCAACCGGCCCACGTCCTGCGCCGACCGTGTAGCCGGATTCCCGATCAAACCGCGTCGCGTATCAGCCGTCTTCCCGAGCTTGCCCACCACCGCCTCGACCTCGATCCGAAGCAGCGACTATGGCATGGATTGAATTTTAGAGACGGCAGCTGAGCTGAGTGAGTACGAGTGTACGACTGTACGAGCGAGAGAGGGACACGTCCGACGGGAAGACGGCGTGTGGAAAGAAGCGGATTGGGTCGGATACCACAGGTGGGCTGATTATGGCCGCAATCCCAGCCCATCCAAATGAATCTGCTTCGGATGGCCCAAATGAGAAATGACCCGGAAATCCATTTATCTATATCTAAAATCACTCCCTGCTGTCTCCTATTTTCTTAAATATCACTGAGAATTTAAGATCTATAGCTCTGGCATACTCCTCTCTTTTTTGGAAACTGCATTTATGGTTCTATATGTACTGTACATATCACATTGAATGATTTTATTCCTTGTGCTTTCAGACTGTGGTTGTTCCACTTGGAGATGAAGAGTTTTTTTTTTTTGAAAAGCACATGAGTATGCCGGGAATATATTGATAGAGAAGGAACCAAATACAATCAAAAGAAAAAAAAACCTCAAACGCTCACGAAGCTGACAACATGACCACCACACAAAAAAAAACACCAACGAAACCACCAAAGCAGCGACCCAAAAATTGACAAATCATGCATGTTTCTGAGGCTATAAATTGCCATTTGGTTTGTATAGTTCTTGCTTGACCATGTTAAATCTTCAGTGCCTGGGTATCGTGTTTGACCATAATGAAGACATGGATTTTCCTTGCACACCAGTAACCCAAAGGGAATGTCATAAAGTAGAAGTTCCTAGAGTCCTAGAGCAAAGCAAAAGCTCTTAGATTCAAGGATGTAGGTCGATCTGCATATATACGTCATGTTCGCTTGATTTATAAGGCGTACTTTTTCAGCCACCGAACAATATTTTTCTCTCACAACAAATCAGTCAACAGTACTTTCAGTCATGGCTTATCAGCCAAGCGAACAAGACGATAATCAAGAATGTCTTGAATTATTAAATTTTCTATTAGGCCAATGGATGAATGTATATGAGCAAATATTCCATCCTCCTTTAATAATATAGCAAGGACGGTTCAGGAGCTTTGATTCTTCGTTGTTGCATGTATTCTCCAACCTTGTTTGGACTTACTCGTTTAGTTGCAAAAAATTATCAATCAGCTATCTGATTTCATTCTGCTTTTTGCTGTTCTACAGATAAAGGATGTCATGTGTGAAAAAACTTATAAGTTCAAACAAGGCCAGCCTTATCAATCAGGATCTTTTCATTCAGCTACTTAGGGTGTCATGTTTGGAAGTTCAAGGCCAGCCTAGGATCAAACACTTAGGGTATAGAAAAAATCAAAAACATGGGAATGGGAATGGGATAAGTGTGCAGTGGTAAAACAGAGGAAAGGAAAAACGCGGAAAATAACTAGAAGAGGTGTTTGGAACGCAGGAATCCATAACACAGGAAAAACGCAGGAATCCATAACACAGCGTGAGCGCAAGCACCGTAGGAAATTTTCCCTGGGATCTGACCTCATTTTTTCTTTCCTCCAAAAGTACAAGCTTCGTTGCCGTTCCTCTGGAAAGGTTCGTGCCGCTTCCTTCGTTCCAAACGCGCGCAGGCAATCCTTTCCTCCGGAACTCAATCCTTCACTTTTCCTCCGTTTTTCCTTCGTTCCAAATGGAGCCTTAATTGCCAGAGGTAGCAAGTGCTTTGAGGTATATGTGTGCGCGATGCCTGAAAGAGACTATGGCCCCGTTCGCTGGTCTGAAACTTAGCTAAAACTGGCTGGTTGTGTGAGAGAGAAACACTATTTAGCTGGTTTGATGAACAATAAAATATGAGGGGAAGCAGCCGGCTGGTCTGGAACTTCCAGACCAGCGAACGGCACCTATGCTTTAAAAATGTGGAGATTGCTTAATCCAGATTTAAGATTGATTAATTTTGTTCAACTTTATGATCGGATGGTGTATGTAACATCTGGTATGTAATTCGTCTTTTACCAGGCCAAATCACTTGGAGTATTAATGTAGCTGCTCTGCTTTGAATCTTTTTGTCATCTATTTTAGGATCTATATTATTAATATATGTTAAACTTGTAATCTTGAAATCTTAGGGCTCAGGGACGGAAGGAGTATGTCATTGTCACTGGCGGTCTCGTTCGGCTTACTCTATATTTAGTTTGTTTAGCTTTTTTTCCAGTCAAAATAGTGTTTTCCTATCGACCATTCAGAACCGTGTTTTTCAAACAGTTTAAGTCCAAATACTGCCGACTGATCAGGGCCATGTGGTGCCAGCTTGCCAGCTTGCGCGGAAGGGCGCGCGCTAGTCACCAGTGAGGACAAGGAGTGCAGGCAGGAGGCAGGACTCTCGCGCCTGTAGGTGGTGGTGGTGCCATCTGAAACCAGGCAGCCGGACTTGGTTTGCATGCGCAGGATTCGCGGCCCGTGATGCCGATTGCCGAGGCCTTCAGATCCAGTCTCTCAAAGAGTCGCCTCGTCCCATCGCCTTTCTCTCTCTCCCCGACTCGCCTTCGCCTACCCCCGCCGCGCTCCACCACAAACGCTCGCCTTTGTCGCCACCCAAAGAAGCCTCTCACGCAAGGCAGCAAACGCGCCGCGCACCTGAAGACCCCAGAGAGCGGCACGACGCGGACCCATTGCGGCATGGCTACTGCGGCCGCCGGCGCCGGCGCGGGGCTCCAGCTCATTGGCGCCGCCGCGGCCACGCTCCTCGCGGCGGCCCTTGTCGCGGCCGTGCTGTGGCGCCGCCGCGGGCCCCGGCCCCTCGGCTCTGGTGGAAGGGAAACCCGCGCCGGAGTCAGGCTGCGGCACAGGTGCCGCCGGCGACGGCGGGACGGACGTCATCATCGTCGGCGCCGGGGTGGCTGGATCTGCGCTGGCATATACGCTCGGAAAGGTGGCTCCTTTGTCTCATGTTAATTCTCGTTCCTGGGCATGGTTCCACTTGGAGCTGGCCAAATGGGCCGGCATGAGGCAGGCTACTGTCGAGTGTTGACCCTGCCCAAGCACAGCACGAAGCTAGATGAGCGGGCCCGGCCCGGCAGGATCAAGTACGTCGTGCTTGGGCCGCCCATCAAGCATGCCGCGGTCCATTTACTGTAGAGCACGTGACCACTGGTCGCATCATCCTACAACAGAGTCCCATATTGATTTCAGTTTTTGGAACTCCAAATGAACAGCAAATATCTCGATCCAGGGGACCAAAAGTTGGGGGAAAAAATAGACTGAAATCAGTAGCTTTCGTATTTTAAATTGCGTGCTTCATGCTTGGCGTGAAGAACAAGGACTGGTATTTTATTGGATGGGGAGCGTGATGTTGATTTTTTTGTTTGGCGTGAGTTATCCGAGCAGGGATCAAAACTTTCTTTCAAGACGTAATGACCCAAGAACAACTTCGGTCCTGCTTTTGCATGCTTTGAGTTAGTTTACAAGGACATCCATTTTTTTCCCAGTCCGACTGTCTGACGAGATTAGATGTCAGTTACCTTTCTGTACAATGGTTCTGGCAAGTGGCAACGATTGTTGATTAGTCTCAGAGATAGATTCGGAAACAGAAAATAGCTGTGATTTTGTTGCAACATACCTTGGTGAATTTTGCATGTTTACCGTGTCTGTGGAAAGTGAGATTTTTTGTTGGTGTCACTGTTTCTTTTGTGGACATGGAATTTATGTGGCTTATGGCTGTTTGGTGCTGACAAATTTCGCTGTCGTGCAACTGTGAATGGAAAACTTTCTTCCTCCAACTAAAGCATTCTCGCAATAATTCATCACCTTGTTACAGTGAATTAGTCTTCTTTTTGGTCTTTCTTGGCCAAAACTTTTTTGGATGGAGAATGAAAGAGAAAGGGGAGGGAGAGGGGGGAGAAAGCAACAGCTAAGAGAAGATTATACCAGCAGAAACTGCAACAAGAACAAGATCAGCATTTCAATGCTTCTGTGTTGCCGTAACTTATCTTGTTGTCAACAAGAACAAGATCAATATTTCACTGCTTCTACTTTTGATCTTGTCAAGAACAAGATCAATATTTCACTGCCTGTGGGTTGCGGTAATTGACCATGCAATACAAGTCAAGGAACCAAACACAATCTTACAAAATGCAATTTCCTTACGAATGCCAACCAAACAGCAGCTTATTGCATACCTAATACGCTTGTGCTGGCTTGAGCTGCATTAGGTCCAATGCAGGCTTAGGGTAGTACAGGCAACCAATTATACCCATTGTATTATTATTGTTTTATCTCTCCTCTCTATTTGTTTTAACAGGCAACTCACTAGAATATTCTGTAGTTTTTGTTTCTTAGTCTATTTTGTTTGTTGGAATGTAGGATGGCCGTCGGGTGCATGTCATTGAGAGAGATCTGACAGAACCTGACAGAATTGTGGGTGAACTGTTGCAACCTGGGGGTTATCTGAAATTAATTGAGCTTGGCCTTGAAGGTAAATCCCATTTTATTTACCTTATTCTATTTTAACGCCATTTCTAAAGTATTATGACCATACCAAGTTTTTGTTCAATTCAGATTGTGTGA